CTCGCTATTTGTACGTGGATACACTTACTTATACACACACACACACACACACACACGCACACGAGTCGAATCTTGTTTTTCTTTCGCGTTCTGCGAATTTCGCTAGCGCTGTATATAAGACACACGATAATGCGGGCCGCGGGTAATTGGTTCATTTGGCTATCAACGAGGGATACTCGAGGGGATTCTGCGCTTAGAGCCGGGCCCAGCGCAGCACGTGTATACGGGTATATCTGGATCGGCCGATCGAAACAAGTAAGCTACGACGACGTCTTCTTAACCCCCGAGAGCGGGGCACGGGAATTCAAGGGTTACAGGGCCGTCCGGCTGGCCAATACACACACACACTCTCTCTCTCTCTCTCTCTCTCTCTCTCTCTCTCTCTCTTGCTCTGTGAGAAAGTCATCGAAATAATGGGAGGATTCTTTCCCTGTCTGCTGCTACTGCTGCTGCATAACGACGACGGGGACTTTATTCGATTTTCGTGTACCGTCCCGGGGATAAATTGGGACGGCCATGCTAGGGCCTTCTTCCCTCCTACCTCTTCAAATCCCAGAACTCGATGAAATTGAGATTATCTTTATTCTCGTCTACCACTTTCTCTCTCTCTCTCTCTCTCTCTCTCTTTGCGCCAGATCATGGAAATTGAAATTTATTTCTTGATTAACATTCTCAAGAAGATCGCGGTGCTCGCTTAAGGGGTTACTTTAATTGTATTTACGAATACTTGTGACTTTATCAGAAAAGTTACTTTACAATTTCATGGCTTCTCTAAACAACTTGGATTTTTCACTGAATCGATACCCAAGTCTGCTTGTATAAATATTGAGGACAGGCTGTTGGATTCAATCGTTTTTAACTTTTGAAATCGAAAATTGAATGGTGTTAAATGAACTTTAGTTTGGTATTACGATTGAGCAAGATTATTGATAGAACAACGTGTTTGTAATATACACAAATAGGTTGTAAAATCAAATATACTATAGAGTTGATTGGTGATACAAAGTGTGTACGAATTTATGTTATCAGAGAAGGACCGTTTAAAGAAATAATAAGTCATTTAATCTTTTTTTATTAAAAAAAAATCTAATCTACTACTGAAATGTGAAAATTCCATGCAATTTTTTTAGAATTATTTTGTTTATTCATTTTTCATTCCAAACACTTTATGATACGAATTTTATTGCAACATACTCGACATAGATCCATAATATGAGACGTCATGTTACAAATCAAAATTAATAATAACAAAAAAACTACAAATCCATCGTTTTCGCGCTCGTACTTCCTTCCCGGATCTACGACTAAAAAAAAGAGGAAAGAAAAAAAAAAAAAAAAAAAAAAGCGTCTATTGCATCGGTCTAGACTCTAGTGCACAGCTACGAAGAAAATAATAAGGCGGAGAAGGATGCAGTTTGCCAGCTGACGAGGACAAGCCGTTGCCGGTGCAACTGCAGAGCCGAGGTTAGTACCTAACGACTGAACCCATACGCATGTGTAACGTACATCAAGTATACATACAGAGGAAATGAAGAGCAGCGGAACAAAGTCACGATGTTGTGGGCAGTGGCGGCTCGTCAGTATATACATGCACACATAAGAACAGCCAGAGAAGCACAGCTGCGAGTGATGGGCTGCTGATCATTTTTACCTGTGTCCAGTGCGTGTGTGCTGTACTTTTATAAGTATACTTACGAAGAGTAAAAGTCAACCCCGAGGAAAGAGGAGGAGAGGCTCTCGTCGATAATACCCATACGCGATTCCTAATTTCGCCCCGCCGAATTGTAATTACGTCACAGTCCCGGAGGCCTGTTTGGCTTGAAGTTGTACACCCGTGTTGCACAAGTATATATACACGCACACATCAGAGCTCAGCTTAGAAGGAAGAGGATGGCTTGCAAGTATATGGTTCCGTGAAGGGGTGCAACAGCAGTAGCAACAGCTTAGTTGCGGGTTTCCGGTAATTGCCAATTTCCACGCGCTCTCCTATCTATACCCTCACGACAACCATCACCCCTTGCCTTGGGTATATGATTGGACAGTGCCTAATACGCGTCCATCTGTCCGTTCGCCAGTTAGCACTCGGGAGTTCAATCATATACCTGCTTACTGCCCATCGATTGGCTTTGGCCGTATTAGATGATTTGCGAGTTATTGGTAAATAAGACTTTCAGGGAACGGTGTCTAATGAGCCTTCGGGGAAACAGACGTGCTTGTTGAAGGTAATTAGTGGCTTTGCCGACCAATGCTGATTTACTGTTTTCTCGAAGGGTACGCTTTTACGTGGATGGCCATTTTTAACGTGGAAAAATATGTGTTTAGCCTTAATCGTTCTAACGGAGACTAAATAAAAAAAATCTTACGTTGTTTTGCTGTTGAAAAATATAAATATAATTACAGGTTGACGCAATCGAGGATTTACGTAAGTTTTTTTTTTTTTTCCTCACTGGTGTCTCAATCCTGTTTATGCCATATGAAATGATTCACAGGAAGGAGAAAAAAAAATAGTAAACGCACGTCGAGCAAGTATGAATATAAGCATAGGCACCACGAGAGAAATAGACGTGGGTGTTGTACGAACAGCTAGACTCGCTCGTATAGCAAATAGTCTGAGCTCTTGGCGTTTAATCCAAAAGTCACGATCCTCGAGAACGCAAATAATAGAGATACTCCGCGGCAGATTCGAGTTGCGTCACGCCGGGGCATAATGTTTCGTGGCACACTCCGTCTTTATGGTAATAATGACAATAATTGCCACACGAGCGTATAAATAACGCGATAGGCACATTGATGTAATATGATCTATGGATCTCGAATGGATAAGTAAGTGTAATGTTGAAACTCGATATCAGAGTGTGTAGGTATCTAATGTACTCAAATGGGATAAAGCGTAGGGAGTTGTAGTTGGGATTGTGGGCGCGATACTGCAGTTGCGTGTGAGCATTACTTGCTCCATTTGAAAAGACGATGGCGGTGAAAGTAGAAAAATGTATGGTATTGAGAATAAAAATGTGTAAAGTGTATTTGTAAAATATATTAGATAACTGAAACTCACAATAAACTTTGGAGGGATACGAAATTTTTCTCATTGAGATTTTCACATACGTTTTATAAGTAAATTTATACGTGTACAGTGATTTTTTTTTAATATTAATGTTCCTTTCACTGTAGTATTTAGATATCACCATGATTTTAGGTGTTTTGCAACTAATGGCTGGAATTTATTTTTCTCGAACGACAACTCTTAAGAGAGATCGATACTTAAACCGGTGAATTGAGACAGAATAATATAAAGATTTGATATATTTGCCTTACATATTATGAGGATGTACTGTTTTTTTTTTGTTTTTTTGTTTTTTTCTTTCAGTTTCAATACCTATTAAAAAAACTAACTCATTAAAACAGACCAAGTAAAGAATTTATAAATTAATTGTTAGAACGTGAGCCCATCACAACAACGACTCACAATAGCCCGCTCGCACTTTTTTCAGCACATCATCCACGCGTCCCAGTTGTCGTTTGTTCGCACCCGCGCGTAAATCCTTTTATGAGCTGCGTGTGGCAAATTCACGGGTCGTCGGAAATTTTATTGCCTCCCCCAGAGAATTGTTCCTTCATCGTATACTTCTCGCTTCGGCGCTGCAAATACAAGCAAACAGAGACTCCGTTCCATGTCTCCTCCCACTTCGATTCGACGATCGCGAAGTTAGCTTTAGATATTAGCACGCGTGTGCAAGTTCAGTCGCACAGCTATAGTATAGGCCCACACAACGGACTTTATAGCGGATCGCGGCCGTACAATAAAAGTCACACTACATCTACAACACTGGAGAGTTTTAGAGGGACATGTTCACGGGACTCTCGTCGTTGATATTTTACACTCCCATATCGGCGCTCCACGCACTACATTTTCGGTCTCGTAGACGCTGACCCTTACGAGTATTAAGATATATGTGTTCCATGCAAGTGTTGACTGCTGAACATACGATACTAAAGCCTTGACTATCACTTTTACATTGTCATGCATTATACATAGAAAAATAATTTATTGCCAGTGACTATAATGTATATAGTATATGCAGAGGGAAAGCTACCTCGTAACGATATTCAATTAGTTGAGAGCTCAAATGCAGTTTTTTAAGTAAGTATAAATATACACACGCGTTCGCTATGAACAAAGTCACGAAGGAGAAACTGCCTTCGACAAAGGAGCTACTTTAATTACCCACGTGGAGCTACAAAGGCCAACCGAGCGCATGTTAATGAGATTTTTTAATTTGGCAATTAAGAGGCACGGGAGGACACAATCAAGATCCGCGGGGGGCTGTACGATTTAATTTACCATCCTACGCCTCTGATTGCAGAGGAGAAGAGCGCTTCTGTGCTTCCTGGCTGATAAAACGAGGGATAAAAATCCGTCTACGAATACGATCGCAAAGCCGAGCAACAAAGCGGTAAAGGGATAAGAAAGAAAAAAAAAGGGGGGGAGAGGACAGACGATTCGTGAGTTCTCGCAATCGACGGGCCCGTAAATCACGTCGGCCGTTTCCGTAAATTCCTTTTCATTATCTCCCTCGGTGCACCGGCCGCTGCTGCGAGGTGCGAGTGGAAAGCCTCGCACCCCCCCGACGATCGCATGATTCGTCCGCGTAAATAACAATTAAACGCGCGGGAGCAGGCTCGGCTCGCTCACTTTGTCCGACTCCCTATTTTTCTCCGACAACCACCAGCAACACGTCTCTCGGCGGATTATCGCGATGCGCATAAATCCTAATTACCCGCCCACGGTGCGCATAATTACCGATAATTAGCGATGCCACCCTACGCTCCTCCTCTTCGCGATACTCGCTACCGTTTGCTCCCTTTTTCCTTCCACTCGGTTTGCACGAAACAATTGAATTCAATTCTGCTGAACTGGCACTTATATGGGGCAGCTATATTTTACCGCATCGACACATTGATTTTAGGGTAATTTTCAATCGAGAGGTGATGTTTTCAACTTACCGAGTAGTCTTTGGCCCGTCGTAGTCAATGAGGCTCCTCTCTAGATCTAGCATTGTAAAGAGGCCTTCCAGTTCTGATAACTGCTCGTCTCTCGCTGCACTGACTTCTTTAAGGATCTGAAAGCAGAAGAAAAAAAATATCGACCGATTAGCATAAGTACACCACGAATCGTCGTGCAGTAAAATTTAATCAGCAAAAGTTGTAGACTAATACTTTGTGCATTATCATGTAAGAAGCATACAAATGAAAAAAAAAGCTGCTTGAAATTCAAATAACCGTAAACACCAGTGGTCCCAGAGTCACGCCTAAGCATCATTCGGGAGTTTCGCAAGCATTTTCAAAACGATGCAACACAGTAAGCGCGTTTCGAGTCGAGCATGTCCCATTCGAGCGTCAAGACAATGGGAGATACAATGACTACTGCATTACCACGAAGTTGTTGGTTAAAAAACAAACAAACAAAAATCCAAAAAACTACATTCAACTGTACATGCACGTATATATACGTACAGAGACGAAACACCAAATCTTTTGTGTTTGTACGCGGGGTAGAGAGAACGAGGTAGAAAAGAAGAGGTATAGGGGGAAGAATGAGGTGGCGCAGCCGAGAGTAGCGAAACAAATCCCGGCCGCCGCTTAATGTTTCCGGTGTAACAGCTTTCATTCGTAAGGCTGCACGACTGCTACATCCACCTATAATATACAGGTACAGCTAAGCAGACAACGAATGGAACGACGACGACCGATTTCTGCGATGTTACACTACGTGCATATATATATATATATATAAATACATGAATGTGTATACGTTTGTACGCGGAGCGCGGGTTTAATGGGCCCGTTTCCCGGCCACGGTTGTTTATGTCACTGGTTGTAGGAAGCACTTTGCTTCCCCTCCCCCTCCTCCTTGCAACTATCGTTCTGTCTTTTCTGCAGTTGCATCTATACAGCTGAAACGCTCGTTGTAAGGATCGCATCGCCGTCCGGTTTACAAAGAAGCCTACTTTTGCTGCTTCGATCCATAAGTATATTCGTATACTGTTATACCTGCCAAGAGAGCTTTTAGCTAACGATATTCAAGCACTCCATTGAGTGCTTGGATTGTTTATACGAGCAGGCTTGTGACGTGGAGAACTGTTGAGATTTTTCTAATGCGATTTTTCTAATAATAACGTTGTGTACGAAAGTATTTTTTAATATATTTTTTTTATTAATAAAGTTATTGAGATACACTTGCGTCAACTGCATTTACTAGTTAGAAAATATTGTTGAGAACTAATGTTTAAAAAAATATCTGTATACTTTTTACCAAAGAACGACAGTAACCGACGATTTCTTCGTTATAAGATACTGGCCCTTGCACAAATAGTTCGGTAACTGAGGGAGAGTGAGCACATGGCAATCGGTTTTTCGCGTGTAATATTATCGAGTTATTGAATGAAGGAAAATAAGCTGGGAGGCCTGGAATGAAAAAAAAAGAGTAGACTGGATGAGAGGGGCGAAGGAAAAGTGGAAAAGAGTGTATTGAGAAAAAAGTAGGTATATGTATTTGGTGGAGAGCTTGCAAGCTCTATGGACAAATCGGGGGAGAGGAATATTCATGATAAAACGAGGAAGGAGTGGGACAGGATATACCCACGCGATTACAAAATGCCGGCTCGAGTGGCCAATATCAGGGAAACACGCTCGGGCTCAGCCGATCCTAATAACCATCTCTATTGTCGAGAGATCCCGATCTTTCTGTAACATGGATAATATGAGCTTTCCGTGCGTGTAGTACGGCATTTGGGTGGGGCTTGCTTTTCTCTGTTCCAAGTTCGGAAATTTTGACAACGAGTGGTACTAGTTCTATCATTTTTCTTTTAATTTTTACTAGAGATTTTCGTTAACACGTAAAAATGCACCGAACGACTCGATAAAAAGTGACGATAGTCCCCACACACCAGAGGCCCGACAAACACGAAACCGCACAAGCCGCAACTCGATAGTCGCTAATGCAATTCAATTTCGTGCGCCAGAGGTCCTCTCGCTCTTTTCTTTGCCTTCCTCCTTTTCTCTCTCGGCACTGCACGAAAGGAAGCGATAATAGAAACATCGACTGGCTTCCGGAACGGGCGCGTCTATTCTTCCTCGGCTCGATAACCATCGCACGCTGCCATTCACATACACATTCGCGCATAAATGCTTCTTTTCAGTGGTTCGCAGAAGAGAAAGAATTCTTCGGCTGAGCGTTGGATCACGAGCCGCAGTGTGACTCCTACAACCAAGAAAAAAAAAAAAAAAAAAAAAGAGAGAGACCTAGCCCTTTGTATTGGGTGTATCCATCTATGTACCGATGTGTAACGTGTCGAAGAACACGAGAAGTCTTTCACACGTCCCACGTTGAAAACTTACGACGCGTGATCGAAGAAAAGGTATAGGTAGGTAGGAACGGCCTATTTCAAAACAATTACACGTTCTCCGGCACCTCGTTCTCCCACGTAATAATTAGCAGCCTCTGTATTGAAAACCACATTTGGCTTTTACCTCTATTTCATTGTCATGTTTTGACAAGTAGGTATACACTTTTCTCTCTCTTTTTTTTTTTTTTTTTTTTTTTCTTTTTCAAGCTTTCAATCAGCATATGTGATTTTTATTTTTAGCCTTCAATGACACAACCGCACTTTCACAAGTAACCTTACGTGCTAGCCTCGAGAATATGGTTTTTTTTTAAATTATATGATCGAGCTATGATGGTTTTTAAATTGTTGAACGTTCTCAAGCTGCTGACGTACCGTATAATTGTATTATATACTTCAAATTATTCGAGTAGGCAATTTTCAAAGCTACATGAGTGAAATGGAGGGTTAAAAAGTATTTGTGTCTACGTACCAGTAAATAAACAAATCAATCATACATTTTAATACAAATTATAATTAATTGCTATTGCAGTTTTGTTAATTTAAAAATAAATCAGGTACGTTTATTGATAGAAGTTGAAACATGAATGTTTTGTATGTAAAATAAATTTAAGGAAGGCTATCAGCGTGCGTTAATTGAAACTAGTTAATAACTATGCATGACAATATAATAAAAAATAAAAAAAATAATAAAAAAATAATTGTATGAAATATTGTCGAAGTTCATTCATTTTTTAAATTGACGCATATATATGACAGCAAATCAAAAAACACGATTAAAAAATACTTTCTACTTGAACAAACACCAGCTCTGAAGATATATTATAAACCTCGGGTGATTAATAGGAAAAATCGGATCTTGTTGCATAATAATTTTAGATACCACCACATCACATTCACCGCTTATACCGTGTCTCACCAAAAGATCCTACAACGAGGCAGCAAGTGCTGAAAAATTTGATAAATCCAAGCTAATCAACAATTCAGCTATTAGCTTTAGTATACAGCGTACATACGCCAGTACACCGTGTAATATTAATAGCGCAGTGTGTGGTACACGATTTGTATGCAGCCCAGCGCTGCTGTCGCCGGGCCGTATATCTCCTCTACCATTATACGGCCCATCGGTGTCGCGGTGTAGGCTACGCAATGCTGTATACCTACATCCATACCCCGAGATGTGGACACAGGGACATAACAGAGCCGCGGAAAAAAGGGCCTGTGGGCATACACGTGGCTATAATGAGAGAGACATTTATAACGCGTGTATTTCAACGCACACGCGTGATCACCTCCCGAGAGAAAAGCCAAGCGGAGGAATTTGTCCCCGACGCTGTGCTGTTTGTTACGACGCGCCCGCGTCCTTCTCAATCAGTCGTTTGGATTCAAACGTTAATGAGGATTATAAATAACGCGGTACCATTCGCCATATTTTTCCCCTCGATAAAAATTTTAACGCGCAAACAGACGGACCTTGCGTCACGCGCCGACTCTGGAATGCAGATTCGAAAAAGTTGGTCGTCCACCACTCGCGGAATAATAGAGGGCCCGTGTAACGTTCATAACGCCGTGTAAAAATCTCGGGACTGATTTTCATTGCTGGACACATACTACCTATACACCACACTGGCCAGCTACTCGTCGTTGGACGTCGCGTACACACGCGCATACATTTTCCAAGTGCCTGGTTAGGAGCCGTGCCGATCAGATTACCAACGCGGCAGTAGCAGCTCTCGGGATATTAAGCTACGGGAGCACGTATGCTATGCGAGAACAGCAGCTATACGTGGTTGTACATGCTGCAGGCTCGTAGATGCGCGGATCTGCATCTAGTCTCTGCCTGGGGCCAGATGACCCTGTGCAGAATGCACGCGAGAACGGAACTGGACGACGTGTGGCTGTAATGTACAGTGCTTTACTATTACTCATATTGTATGCTTCGCTGATGTTTGACTTTTTTGGATCCGTTGTGTGGTTGTTACTTATGATTCGAATTTAGGGAAAGACGTTAGTGTTGAATCGAGACTTTTTTTTTTCGTGATAGAATTGTTTGTTAACGTAGTGGCTCAGTCAGCGAAGCGAGAATCTCTTGAGATCCATAATGGTAGAAGCTCAAGACGCGAGTTCTGTGAAAATGGTTAGTGATGGATAGTGACAGGTAACTTAATTAATAAATGACAACGAAAACATACCAATCGAAACTTAAAGCGAATGGATTAAAATTTTTTTTTACAAATTTATCAATATTTCGATCATGTTGAAGCCGTATTTAGGGGTGCACTGAACGATCGTACAAAGATAGTTGCCTAGTTAGCCAAAAAAAATCTTTTGTTTTTCATTTACATGATAATTTGTTCTTTACATGACTAGAAATATAAAGCAAAGGATTATGTTTGGTAAAATAAAAAGTCATAAAAGTTTTTCTCTCCTGAAAATTGTACTTTTGTTTATGTTTTCAATCACGTAAATAACGAAGCATCTTACATTGGAAGTATTGCTATATTAATTCTATCGTGCAGCTCTTCATATGGTACAACTGATTACGAAACATATATGAAAGTTGCTTTTGTGATCCCATCATGCAAATATTATCTACTTTTCAGTAAAGTTGAACGTTTTTTTTTCTTCTTAACTAAAAGGTTTTAGAATACATATAAAAATACTTGAGTATAAGTAATAATTTAGTTGTAGTTTTTTATCTATAGAGTAAGCATGAT